AGAGGCAACCCTTGCTTCCTTCATCCCACCTCATCATTTCTACTGAGTTGTTACTCTGGACTCTTTTGCTCTGTTGTAGATGCTGGGATATAGCAGCCACGAACAAAACAGACAAAAATCCCCACCTTCTGGAGCCTACTTTCTAGCCAAGACAGAGAATACATAAGTAAATAGAGATTGACAGATGATGATATGCACCATGAAGAAAAATCAAGCAGGGTAAGGAGGTTGGGAGGTCTGGGCATGAGGAGGGCTGCCATTAAGAGTAGTAGGGGAAGGAGGTCTCTGACTTCCTAGCCGAAGACCTGTAAGAACTGAGGAGAAAGCCATTTAGTTATCCGGGGAAACTGTCTTCCTGTCAAGAGGGAAAAGCAAGTTGAAGGCCTTGAGGTGGGAGTATGCCTGGCACAGTGGAGGAAAAGGAGGCCTGTGAGGTTGGAGTAAACCGGGCAGGGCGGGGGGAGAGCAGGACAAAGTGGGAGTGCGATAGGTGCGGGCACATTGTGAAGCCTCCTGTAGGACGCTGGCATCTGCTCAAAACTGAGACTGGAAGCCTCTGCAGGGTTTTGAGCAGAGAAGTGACCTCAAGTCGGACAAAGTTTTAAGACGATACCCTGGCTGCTATGTTGAGAACTGAGTGCAGGAGAGGGGTTGGGGGTGGGAAGGAAGTAGCAAGGAGCTCACCTAGGAGGCTCCTACAATAACCCAGGTGAGAGGTGATGGAGCATGGACCCAGGTGGTTGGAAGTGGTGAGAACTGGTCAGATTCTGGATGTTTCAAAAGCAGAATCAACAGGATTTGCAGACTCATTGGACGTGGATTGTGAGAAAAAGTGAAGAGTCAGGATTGACTCTGATCTCTTGACTACGATGCCGACTGAACCATCTCCTATTTAGTTCTCTAGGATTCTGTAATGTCCCCCCTGGATTTTCCAGATCTTTTCCTGGCCATCACTTTCATGTTCTTGTCCTTCTTCCAGAAGTCTGAGTCTTCACCCTCTGCTCTCCACAGATACTCAAGTGATGTGATTTCATCTATGACCACAGCTTTCAACAGCCACATGGCGAGTGTCAAAAACTCAGCTTCAGCCTATACCTTACTCCTTCAACTTCAAATCTGCTTCCTGCACACTCCCCACGGATGCCCCACAGGCTTCTCAAACTTCATGTATCCAAAACTGAGCAGACCCCTCCCCTCTGTGCACTCTCTATTCCAGCAAAGGACACTATCTGTGTCAACATCCTGCAGTCATGCTGTATTCCTCCCTCTTCCTCATCCCTACATTCAGCTAATCACCTAGACCCGTCAACCCCATTTCTGAAAACATCTCAAATATGACCCCCTCTGTCCTACTGCCTTATCTATGGTCCAGGTCTCAACATTTATCTGGACTTCTGCAAGAATGTCCAAATTGGTCACTTCTTTTCTGATCAAAGCTTTTTCTTTTGCCCCACAGTAATCTAAAATGAAAATCATTCTATTTAAAATAATCCAGATTTCCCTACCACTAGCTCCTCAGCCCAGACAGAATTCAAGTGCAAGAGGGCTGTACAACTAGCTGCCTAAGGCTTAAGAGCTAAAACATCACTTGGATATATAAATATGGTGCAAGTTAACAGTCTACCCCTTCTCCTGAATCGTTTACAGCCTTTATAAACAGGCAGCCAGATTGAAGGGATGTAAGCAGCCTCTCCACTACCTGGGGCACCACTCAGAGCAGGGAGGGCCAAGTTCCTAATAGAACTGCTTTCCCCAGCCACAAACCAGCCTCACCACTATCAAGCGGCAGACTAATCCTTCCATGAGAACCTCAGGACGAAGCCTGTCATGTGCTATACTTCTGTTCACCTCAATCTCTACCAGATGTTCAAGCCTCCCCGTCAGCTGTCACAACCTCAATTCCCTTTAGCTCTATAACCCAATATTGCTCCCTTCCCAAATCTTCCCCTGTGCCCTCTGGAATTGTCACCAGCCTCTTCTCTGAAGTTTCTTACTCCACCTCTAACCTGACTCGCCCCCAGGACACTACTTCCCTTGGAGCCCTTTCAGTGATAGCTTCTTTTCTTCTCCTAAGTCCCAAGTACCATGGTGCCTGGTGGTGGGCTAGGTCTCCTGTTACACCATCGCCACTTCTAAACCATTTTTTCTCCCTTGTAAGCCCTCAAAAACCCCAACTTCCTTTAAGCCCATGCCTTCAGACTCAATTATCCAGCAGCATTCCTTTAAGATGTTAATTCCAGGGTCACCATCATTGCCTTCTCCACACCCACTACTTCTACCATCACTTGTGGTAATTTCAAGACCCACAGCGATCCTTTGAACACTATGGTCTATTTTTCACCTCTTTGGTCCAGTAACGTCTCTTCCTCCTCCTACCTTCCACTCACATGACCATACCCTAAACTCGGTCATTACCAATAACTGCACCACATCTCAAGGTTAAGCATGCCAGTCTGGGACCACCAACCCATATTCTTCCAGCTCCCTTAAATTAGTACTCCCACTCCATTGAGTCAATTTGGAATACTTGCCAACTCACGGATCGATCCCAGTCACCAGAGAATGCTCAGCTCTTACTGGTTTTGCCTCATCAGGTTCCATGCTTGCATCCAGGGATGTGGGTGCTGGGAACATTACTGTCAACTATAACCTGGCATGCATTCACTTTCAACAGCTTTGCTCTTTTCTTCCTTTGCTGAATTCAGCTGGCAAAGCCCTGGTGAAACCCAACCCCTCCTGCTGGCAATTCTATTTCCCTAGTATATTTATTTTCCCATTCTCCAAGACAACTATTTTATCTTTTCCTCTCTTCAGACCTCCAACATCTCTTCTCCCTTTTCTAAGATCCACCCAAAAAAAGTCCTTTTGAATTGTTTACTGAACTTAATTTGAATCAATAGACAAATTGACATCATTGAACCTCAATATCCATGAACACGAAAACCTCCATTTTTCTTTAACGTCTTTCAATAGTTTTGCTTCCTCCCATAAAGGTTTTGAAAAGGTTAGTCCTAAATACATTTCCTTAATACTACCATAAAGTAGACATTTTTTTACCAGCTACTATTATACAGAAGTTTTAGCCATTTACCAATAAATTATCCATTAACTGCAAGCTCTTGGGTTTTCTGTTACCAGCATCACCTATGGATGACGTTCTGTTTCCTTTCCAATCCTTACTCCCACCTCACTGCATGTCCTAGGCTCTCTTGCAGTGTTCAACAGAAAACATGACAGCAAGCATCCTGACCTTGTTCCTCATTTTAAAGGGAACAGAGCATACACATGCCTGATGCGATATGGCACCTAATTCCTTCCCACTCTCCCATGCTCTCTGCTCCAGCCACATAGGTCTTCTTCTAAAAGGATATTAGGTATTCGTAATTGTTAAGGCTGGAAAACCAGGGTCAAGGCTAAGTGTCAAACTGAGAGGCAGAGTTGCCTGATGAGGAAACCATAGACCATAGCCCATAGCCGTTGTGGCTAGAAAGCACTGCTTCCATCCTCCCCTCTAACAAAGTGGTGACTTCCCCATAGTTGCATGCTGGTGCATCTGACTGGCCGACCAGGTTCTCAACCTGCAACCTGGCTGCAAGAAAGAATGCATTCTCTGGATTGTCTTACAAAGATTGTAGGCTATCTAATCCTTACACATGGTGAAGGAATTCATAAAGTGCTGAGCAACAGAGCACAAATACATAGGAAAAAATGCATAAGTAGTTTTGTATGCAACATTAGCAAGACTGTGTAACAAAACCTTTCCTCCTTGCCATGGTTTTCAAAATCACATCTTAACACTATTGGATATTTAACCAATACTGTTGGCATTGTCATTTCCATGATATATACCCTAATGTATGTAATTATCAAAATCACTACATTTTACACACCACCAGCAGTGTGCAAGTGCCTGCTCCATTGTACTCTTATCAATGTTGAGTGTTTTCATGCAAGGCAGAGAGTTGGTCCCAAATTAGGAAGAGTAGTTTCAAAGACTGTTGACTGATATTAGTCTACTTGTGTATTCTTTCCCACTTTATTCACCAGTCTCCTAGAATTGAAATTACCAGTGCAATGCAATCTTGGTTCTGTGAATTCTGAGCACATTCTGAAAAGCGGCACCATCTGGACTTACACAGCACTGCAGGAATCCTGGATGTGCAACTGTAGCATACTCTACCGTCTTTTCCCCTGGGCCACGAAAGCTGGCCAAAATGATCCAGAATAAGTCTCTGGACAACAGCCAGATTATTCCATAAAGAAATCAAAGAGCATCTAATAAGACATTTTAAAAGAATAGCCAAAACAGGCTTAGGTTAGAAGGGAGTTGAGACCACAAAACTAATCTCACCAATCTCCATGATCTCAGCAGCCTTTCCACAGGCGTCACATTGCTTGTTGTTTTCTACTGACCATGACACCAGGCTCTGTGGCAGGCATCTGATAACTCTGAAGTGGGTACCTTCTTTTGGCAGGCTGAAATAACTCTCCCACAGGGACAGAAATAAGTGGCTTCCAGGGATTAGAACCCAGTTGGTCTCTGCTGGAGCATGTCCTCTGCCCTTTACCACTGCCTCCCACCAAAAAGGAATGTACAGAAAGGAAAATGGTTAGATTATCACAGTAAATATTTGCTAATTTTTTTTTTTTTGATGAGGAAGATTGGCCCTGAGCTAACACTTGTGCCCATCTTCCTCTACTTTATATGTGGGATGCCTGCCACTGCATGACTTGATAAGTGGTGTGTAGGTCTGCACCTGCAAACCCCAGGCCCCTGAAGCACAGTGCGCAAACTTAACCACTATGTCATCAGGCTGGCCCCAATATTTATTAATTTTTAGCACGAGCCCAGTTATGTGACTCAGTCAAGAATTACACGTTTTAAGAAAACTTCTCTGAGTCATTACCAGTGAGTTCCATCTATTTGCAGATAGGTTTAAGCTAAGGGTCCTATCACCAGCTAAGGACTTACAAACTGAAGACAAAAATATACACAAAGACAATTATTTAAGACCTTTATTAACAGGTGCTTGCAGTTTGTTGACTTTTTTGAAAAAATCAAGTTGTAAACTTTTATTACAAATTAAAAATGAGGTTCTTAAAAATCTCAACTTGACCAGATATGAAACAATTTAAAAACCTTTACAGGTGTATTGAGAAAAACCAGGCTTTTTTTTTTTAAAAAACACGTTTGTCATTACCAAAAAGAGACATCTTTAGGTAAAAATAATAAAAACCCCATGCTGCATAGATAATGCAGATAGTTCTAGTTATCTGGTCAACAGGCAAAAAGCAAGCACTTAAGGTCTTCAGCTCCAATCTTTTGTTCATTTCTTATTGCTGGAATTTCATATTCATTTCTTCTTGTTGGATGACTAAACTGTAAAGAAAAAATAAAGATTATCTTGCACAACTCACTGCAATGTTCTTTTAGTATACTAAATTGCTCCAAATCACATTAGCTAAGTAGGGCAGGCACTAACGAATCTCACACTGGTTTATCCTGACAGTGATTTACAAAATGAGTGGACACTGCTATGTAACAAGCATGGTTTACCTGTACGTTCTGGATGACCTTCTGCCACCCACAAAATACTAGAGGGAAAAAACTTAAAGTATTACTGGCTGAAAATGATAATTCAAGAGCCTAAGAGACAAGTACATGTCTCTCAGTATCAAGTAAAAGGCTGACAGCAAAGGAATCCCTTAATTTTGGAACTGATGATACGGATGTCAAAGCTGCCACTTTCCCCAAAGAGACTATGTGGGTCATCATCAATCCAGGTTATTAATTCTAGTAGCTACCCTACTTCTCTTTGAAAATGAAGAATAACAAAATGTAATTAACATACTTATTAGGGTAAGGTTACCAAGCCTTTCCTCAGCTTACTGGTGAAATCACAAAATTCACTCAGAAAAGTTGACACAAGGCTCTAATACTCAAGATATGATGTGAAGCTAGGCCTCCAGGTGTCAGAATTGAGGTGACTGAGAGGCAAAGCACGGCTCTGATACTTGCCATTACCAAGATGTAATATTTAGACGATTGTAAAATTAATTTGGGTGGCAGTCACTGAAAGTAAAAATGGCTTACCTTACCTGATGAACTGGCCTTTTTCTCTCGCATTAATGGATACCACTCATAACCGCTCAGAGGCCTAAAGGCCACCTAGGTTTACTCACCCGGATGATGGTAGAGATGGTAAGCCGGCATTTACTCAGCCCCGCCCTGCTCAGCCTCGGGAGCGGACGAATTCTCAGCTGGTGGATCGGCTGCTTTAGTCTCTTTGCCATCTTGTGGTTTAGGGTTTTCCGGGCGTCTGCGTCGGTAGTTGAAGTTGCGGCGGTACCGACGTTGAGGGGGCTGCTGACCTTGGGTCTCATCTCCTTGATTTTCCTTATCTTCTTCATTGCCATCCTCTCTAGGCTGTCTTTGGCGAGGAGGGCCCCTGGAATGAACATTGCGCAAACTTGCAACGATAAAATCTTCTTTCTTTAACCCACCCACCAGTGTTAACACTTGGTTTACTTAAGTAAACACCATATCTGACCTTTCGTTTTAATCAAGTGGTCAGCAAGCAAATTAGCAGAAATGACAGACGAGGCTTGGTTCATCTTTCACAAACTGTGATTTTGTACAAGGATTTGAAGTGTGAACTGGAAGATGAGCATTTAAAACTGGTTTTAGGGCCAGCCCTGTGGCTCAGCGGTTAAGTGCGCGCGCTCCGCTGCTGGTGGCCCGGGTTCGGATCCTGGGCGCGCACCGACGCACCGCCTCTCCGGCCATGCTGAGGCCGCATCCCATACATCAACTAGAAGGATGTGCAGCTATGACATACAACTATCTACTGGGGCTTTGGGGGGAAAAAGATAAATAAATAAAAACAGAAAAAAAACAGAAAAAAACAAAACTGGTTTTAATGAACTAGCAAACTTTTACTCATAGTATAATCTATTATGAAGCTAATCATGAAATGACTATAAAAGCCATCAACACTTTGATGTCATCTTTAAACATTTTAAAATGGGCTTTATGGTAACCACACTTGGGAACAAGTGCTAACCTTTACAGAGGAACACTTGCTAAAAAGGCAGAAAATCAAGACCAAAGAAAAGATGCCCTCTTCATATGAATGAAAGTACAGGGCAACCATTAAGTCATTAGGGAAATGCACATCAAAAACCATCAGATATAACTTCATTATCTACTAGGATGGCCATAACCAAAAGGCTGGGAAATAACCAGTGTTGGCGAGGATGTGGAGAAACTGGAATTCCTCATACATTGCTTGCAGGAATATAGAATGGCAGAGCAGCTTTGGAAAACAGTTTGGCAACTCCTCAAAACGTTAGAGTTACTCTGTAACCCAGCAATTCCACTCCTAGATCTACACCCGAGAGAATATCTGTTTTGTGAATCACTATAATATTTATAACAACAAAAAAGTGGATGGGGCCGGCCCCATGGCTTAGTGGTTAAGTGTGCATGCTCTGCTACTGGCGGCCCAGGTTCAGATCCCAGGCACGCACCGACGCACCACTTGTCCGGCCATGCTGAGGTGGTGTCCCACATACAGCAACTAGAAGGATGTGCAACTATGACATACAACTATCTACTGGGGCTTTGGGGAGAAAATGGGGAAAAAAAGGAGGAGGATTGGCATGGATGTTAGCTCAGGGCTGATCTTCCTCACAACAGAAAGTGGAAACAATCCAAATGTCCATCAACTGATAAATGAACAAAATGTGATAATCATACAACAGAACATGATTTGGCCATAATAAGAAATCAAGTACCAATATATGCTACAACATGGATGAACCTTAAAAATATGCTAAGTGAAAGAAGCCAGACACATAAAGAAGCTGCGTATTTTATGATTCCTTTTATATGGTATGTCCAAAAACGGCACATCCCGAGACAGAAAGTAGATTAGTGTAAGCACGGGGCTGGGGTAGAGTGGAACAGAAAGTGACTGCTAATGGATAAGGGGGGGGGGGGTGAGGAAAATGTCTAGAATTAGTGGTAATGGTTGCATAACTTTGTGAATATACTAAAAACCACTGAGTCGCACACTTAAAAAAGTTTAAGCGTTACATTCCAGCAATATATTATCTTCAATGGCCTGAAATTAAAGATATCAGGACCAAAGAAAGTATCATGACTTCTAACCACCAAGAAAAAGACACTAGGATTTCTTTTTCTGGTGATTATGTCAGAAAACATCCTCTATCCATAGTCACAACACCCCAGAAAGCCCCAGGAACACCAAGATTAATATCATGCCTTTTATACCTACCAGTCATCACAGGCTCTAACTCCCATTTAGATCTGTACATCCTATTTTTCACCTTCAAATTTTCCAATCTCCCAACTACTCATCCCAACCCCTCCCCTCCTCCTGAAATCCCTTCCCCACATTTTTGGGAACTCACAGCCAAGCTTTGGCAAAATTGCTCTGGCTTTCTCCTGCAGACTTCAAGCGGTAGCTGCCCCATCCCCATCACTGTGGCTTCTTAGTCAATTCTCCTCATTTCTTTGTAAACCCCAAGCTTGCAAATCTCACGTGAGGCTATGTTCCGTTTACCATCCTTGCCCTGTTGTAGTTATCATGACAGCCCCAAATAACCTGGGCTTTTAGATTCTTGACCTCCCATCCAGTTCTTGTTTCCTACCCGAGTTTTCTCAATTTCAAGCATTCCACTCTCCACTCAGCCCTTCCTATTTTTCTTTATTTCCACTAGGACCTATAATCCAGCGATCCTATCACCTAGCTGGTCCCTCATTCTTCCTTAACCCTTTCCTCCACTCCTTACCCAAGTATAAAGTCCACCTTTAATCATTATAACCAACCCCAAACCTGGTATCTTCATCTGGACCAACAACTGCTGGTCAAATCCAACTCTCTCCCCAATTGGAGCCTGCTACTCAAAATGGCTGGAAAAACACAACCATGCTGAGTGGACGCACTTTAAATTTGTGATTACTACTCTATTATTTGATTTTCCCTATCTTTCTTTTTTTTTTTAAAGATTTATTTATTTATTTTCTCCCCAAAGCCCCAGCAGATAGTTGTATGTCATAGTTGCACAGCCTTCTAGTTGCCGTATGTGGGACGCGGCCTCAGCGTGGCCGGAGAAGCGGTGCGTCGGTGTGCGCCCGGGATCTGAACCCGGGCCGCCAGCATCAGAGAGCACGCACTTAACCGCTAAGCCACAGGGCCGGCCTCCCTATCTTTCTTCCAGAAATAATTTCATGTCTTTGTCCCAAACTCCCTCTCTTACCTCTCCTTTTGACTGCACTAACACACCAGTGGCACATACACTCTGGCTTCTTACATATGAAACGCCCATGGTTCCTAGCAAAAGGCCAACCCCTACTTGTGGACAGAACCCCACCCCAACTGAAGATAGTTCCAGCAGTCACTTTCCTGCCAACCGTCCTCTTATACTGCATTTTTCAGCCTACAAATATACCCTCATTTCCCATAAACAAGAACCCTTTCTTGACGCCACTTTTCCGTTATGGCATCTCATTCGTCTCCTTTTCAGCAAAACTCCTGCTCTGCCTGTCACAGATCTCTCAATTTGCTCTTGAACCTATACCAATCAGGATTTCACCCCACACATCAGAGGCAGTATGTGTCATCTACTACTCATCTGACCAAACAATTCCTGGCTAAAGTTTGGAAACCCCTGCATTCATTGATAGAATCATTGTAAATTTTAAGGCAATTATATGTCACCGTAGGAATTACCTGGCACTGTCAATTCTATCCATTCAAATGAAAAGTATTAAGTCTAACTTAAACCAAAAGGCAACAGTAAACCTGAAACACTCAACAACAAAAACTCATGTGCTATTTTTAAGAACACCAAGGAAACTACTAGGCAGAAAATTTAAGCAGCTCTACAGTGTAACAAAAAGGTAAACTAAGGATTCTGCTGTTGGCATCCATGGATGTAATGGATAAACTGCCATGAAAGCTAAACTTTAAAAACATTTGGCACTGTTTAAAAAATGGTATTGTTTGCAATACTTCAACAAGGTATCTATGTCTATGTTTAAAACAGTTTGAACCACAGTTCAGCTCAAGATCAACAAAGCCCAACAATCTGTCAGCATCAAAAATAATCTTCCTTACTGAACAGGGAAGACTGCATCTATCTCAACATCCAGCAAACAGCTAACACAATCTCCTGGTGGCATGACAATTAGGCTCCAATTTTACTGAACACCAGCTAGGACTCCAGCTCCTTTTCATGAATTAAAAACTTAAGACAGAACGTACACATCAACGAAAATAAGAAAAAATACATTCTAGACACCAGCTACTGCAAAACTCCACACACATATACTGATGTAAGTAATATAATCTCGATTGGGTTCCCTAATTCCTAAAGCTTCAGTGACTGCTCATTTTTGGTAAAGTATACAGCACTTGTAGTTAGAAACCTTCTCTCTTCATCAACAAATTTTGAAGACTTCTGTGTTGTATTTGAGTTACTTTTATAGTTAAAGGAACTCGTTTCTTAAACCTTATTTGGGTATCTACAGTGAAGGCTGCTATGTAAGCGATTATCAGCTAAGAAGAGTTATTCCTGTAATGGATTCTTGAATATACTATCTGTTAACGTTAGGGATCACACCTGGAGCCTCAATGCTCTGACATAAGACCCTTAAAGGAAGTAATTGTCACACTATTCTATCCTATCAGTGTGGGACTGGGAACACTGCCTCAAGGTGTACTACATTTATGTACTAAACATGTCTGCCTCATGGAGCTCTTCCCCAACTACTCTATACTCTAATTTTAAATTAAACACCTTCTGTTAAAAAGGATTCTCTAATACCCAAGCACGTAGGCTGGCTGTTTAAGGCTAATCTGGAACTGAGTTTCTTTTTTCCAAAATGTAAATTCCTAACCGAGTGATTTCATTAAGCAACTTTAGGGTGTCAAAGAAAAAGGACATACTTACATTGAGAAATGTTTAACGAAAAATTATGCCATCACAGAGATAAAAACGTTGATTCTTCATTTATGATATAGTGCAGTTCAGATACTCCTAATGCTTAAAAGATTACTTTTATCTTTCCCCTCGCAATGAAGCAGGTCTTAAATATAATACGGTTTAACCAATTCTCTTACCTGTTCCAAGGACAGAAAATTTGAAATTCCATACCCTCATCAGAGGGAGGGGGGAGGGGGAAAAAAAACAACAACTGTATAAAGTAGACCTCATCTACACAAGCTGTTTTTAACCAGTGCCAGCAAAGATGTTGCAAAGAACAAAGTCTCAAAGATAACTGACTTCAGGTTCACCTTAGGCACCTGACTAAAGAAAATGTGTGTTAACAGATAAATGACTCAAAAAGACTGCAGGAGAAGCGTGATGCTGCTGAGTCCTAACATATGCTTGAGAAATCTTTTAATAAAAACCATACCTGCGGAATCGTGGTCTATAACCTCGATACATATTCTGCCTCACTGGTCTACCTTGTTCTCCTGCACCCTGGTTGTCAGCACCCTGAAAAGACAATGGACATCCAGCCAACTGGATCAGAACATTAGAGTAAAAACCCAACCAGACAAATCCAAAGTCAAAATACAGGAGTTAAAAGTAAATAAACAGATCCATCTAATAACTGTGATTATACTATAAATTATTAATTTTCTGGGTTTTATTAAAAACCAAAAAGTGCTTCTAGTTATGATTAATAGCTCCACACAGAGGAAGGTACCTAGAAAATGTTTAAAAATGCAGTCCTATCAAAAGTTATCACATGCTGTTGTTGATCCTTATACTTTTTGGTGAAACTTACCTCCATCACTTCTCCTTGCACAGGAGGGTTGGAATACTGTGGTCGACGCCCGTAGGGTCTCCGCATGTAGTAAGGTGGGAACCGTCGCCTGCGGTAGGGCCGGCGCTGTTGGGCCTGGCCTTCGGGAGCACTCTCTGATCCCTCATTCTTTTCCCCACTCTCACTGTTCTGGTAATTCTGCTGGTAATTGCGTGGAGGACCCCTGCGACGTGGATAGCGTCTATAATGGTTACGGTCTGCTGCATATTTACTGCCTTGCACTGGAACTCCACCAGGGCCTGTAACATTTGCTGCCTCCGCACCCTACAAAAGCCATCACATACTGCCAGTGACAAGCGAATTAAGTACACTTAAAATTTACACAAATCAAAGAGTCTATGTGGCCAGGGGTGCATAGAAATGATTAACTATCAGTTCCTCACTGTTCTGAAGAGATTGCCCTCTAACTGCAGCCTGCGCATTAGGTTTGATGCACCTGTGTTCATGTAGTCACCTGACCCATCCATCCACATTAGAGCCACCATCCTCATGGATGAGATCTCCACAATATTTCCATACTGAAGTCAAACCTTTACACAAAAAGCATCCTCACCTTTTCTCCTTCAACAACATCAAACTCCACAGTCTCTCCATCTCCTACACTGCGAAGGTACTTCCTGGGGTTATTCTTCTTTATGGCAGTCTAGTAATATCACATTCCAAAAACAGATTAACAGGGGAGAATAATGTGCTTTTTCATTTAAAATGTACCAGAGTCAATATTATTTTAGCTTGGATATACACTTAAAATTAGCTTTAAATAAGACCAAATTGTCAATAAATTTAGGAAAACAGGGACCAATGCTACCCCCAACCTCAACCAAAATACTCCAATCTTACAAGGCCCCAGCATTTTACCACTATTTTCCAAACTAAAACAAGTAATTTAATGCTCAACACAGACACAACAATATATATTTTTAAAAACTGCTTTTTGCAAAAGCATTATGTGTAGCTTTGAACAAAACGAGGATATCCATTTATCCCCCAAAGACTGCACTTAATAGTAGAAGCTAGCCCCACACAGGGCCAGTTTAGATGACAGGCGAGTTTAGGTTTGCATGCTTCAAAGCTGACCAAACCAACTTTGTCCCTGTGGTACCATATCAAACTCAATTACAAATGTCAACCAAAATCCCTTCCAACCTGTCTGTGATAATACTTCAATGGAAGTGCAATTCACGTGTATTAACTATGTCACGTTTTATATCTTCTAACTGCACGGGACGGTTGGTTATTACCTCCCCAAAATACAATAAATCTCATTGTTACTTGTTCTCTAGACTGCTACAACAGAGTAAAAGCGGAAGAATAACACCTCACATCTGTGTGTAATACTTCTGCTAAGTTCTTCCATACATTACTATTCCATCTCATTATGACAGATGATGTGAGGTATTATTACTCCTTTTTTACTGATAATAAAACAGGCTTTTAAAAGTTAGGTGACTTGCCCAAGGTCACACAGCTAGTAAGCGGCCGAGTATGGACTTCTCTAAATCCAGGTCTTGGGACTTCAAATCCCATGTTCATTCTACTACATCTCAGCAGTATTCATTACAGGATCACTCAAGCATTTCCATTCCAGAGGGGGCAGGACAACCAACAAATCTGAAGCCAATTAAGCTAAGTTGCCCAGAACTCCAGTCTCCTTGTTACACCACTAAGACCTGAGCATCCAAAGTCCCAAGAAACAACTATATGTTGAAACCACTCCCAAAATAAAGAGGAAAGCATATTGGTGACACCTTGTGGGTCAGTACAAGTGTGTGACATGCGTTTAGCCAAATAATTGATCTCATCTGTCATCTAAACCGTCACAAAGTTTTCATACCTTTCATATACGGCCAACTCTCAATTACCTGCAGTCATAGGGGATAGCAGAAGGATGGATAATCAAAATCCCCAAACTCTTATTTCAGTCAGCATCTACAATGCCCTCCCCCAAATCCCCCAAATCCTTTAGTGTTGCTGACAGGCAGCAAGACTGACAAGCCTTGCTGTCTCTTGTTCCTAGGTCTGCATATACCTTTGAAAATCTGGAAGTAAGAAACAGGCAAAAACTGGTATTCAATTTTATAAAACAAACATTTGTCTTAAAATAACCTTGTCTGAGCAGCCCTATAATTATGTTTAGGATTTAAATGTTCCCATACTTATATCTGTCCCTGTGATTATCTGCTAGGGTTTTGTATATACTAGAAATTGACCTGGCTTCCCCCTCGACTGCCACTGAGCACTGTGTAGGACACTTGAGAGAGCTACAAAGCACCAACCCAAGATAGCCCTTCCTAAGAAGTATGCTGTCATCCAAGTTCACACCTGCCTGAATAAAGGCACAGTGTGGACATTGCCTTTATGTCTTCTGATGTCTGGATTACAGTATTAAAAAAGTGGTCAAAAAGTTGTAATTTTCACTACAAGTTGACAATATTTCAACAGTCTTATTAAAAAAACCGCAGAGCACAGAAGTACACACATACAGACGTGTTTTTCCTACCCACTGCATATCTGTGAAGGTAATTAAGTCCAAGGGGGCCTAAGATAATAAGTTTGAGATATTAGCGTTCATTTGGCAATGGCTTACTTTAACAATAAATTCCTTAACACTCAAGCATTTTTCAAAATATTTTCCTTAAATGGTACTTGAGGAGAAAGTTCAGCAAGTAGTAACTATCCTATGTTAGTTTCTTCCTCTCAAAACACTAAAGCCAATCTAAAAATTATTTAAGGAGTAACTGCCAACTTTGATACACTGCCTTTTCACTTAACCATAAACTGGCGAGGATTTCTAATTTTCCAAGCCAGCCGAAATTCTCCAAAGGTAAAAATATCTTACCCATTCAAAGTGCTTTAGAGGGCTGGCCCCGTGGCTTAGCAGTTAAGTGTGCGCGCTCCGCTACTGGCAGCCCGGGTTCGGATCTCGGGCGTGCACTGATGCACCGCTTCTCCGGCCATGCTGAGGCCGTGTCTCACATACAGCAACTAGAAGGATGTGCAACTATGACATACATCTATCTACTGGGGCTTTGGGGGGAAAAAAAAAGGAGGATTGGCAATAGATGTTGGCTCAGAGCCGGTCTTCCAGCAAAAAAAGAGGAGGATTAGCACGGATGTTAGCTCAGGGCTGATCTTCCTTACAAAAAAAAAAGTGCTTTAAAATAAAGAGAAGAACCTATGCTACTTTGCTGGTTTTCTAGCATTCATTTCAAATTGATGTTTTGTGGCTTTGTCCTATTTCCTCCATGGTTACTGTGATTTGTCCTTACTATAGAGGTAAACCTAACAGCATTTGAAAACATCTTGTCAAAGTTTCTGTGTATTTATAGCAATAGTTCAAGTTTAGGTTAATGGAAGTTTTCTGTTCATCTGAAATTAGGTTTGAAAATTTAGTCCAATGAGTTAAGCAGATTCAACATTTTAAAAAGCTAAAACTATTAATAAAATACCAATTTGAAACACCTATTTTAATTAAGTAAACCGCCAATACAATGTTTCAATGTATACATTTAAGCATGCTACCACTCTTCCTGTAGGAACTAAATAAACTGCTTGGGAGGTGGACTTAAAAACATTTCTGCCAGGAATAATAGTTGAGAACACAACCACCCTTTTCTTCTCACAAGCCTTGAGCCAGAAGTGTAAACATCCACACAAACACTCACCTGGTGTACAAATACATCTTCCTTGGTGTCATTCCTGCAAGACAGAACCAAGTTGAACAAGTTAGAAAATGGAATATATTTCATGCTGCCAAAGATTAAGAATACACTTGGTCCTTTGTGCATTTCCCCCCTATTTTTCCTACTGTTATACAGACTTTCTGGCTGCCAACCAGGATTTAGGAAATCACAAAATTAAACAAAACAACAAAAACAAAACTAGTAAGCCATCAGGATTTCTGCTTTAAAGACTAAGCTGTTGTCAACAGTTGTAACCTTACTACCTATAGAAGGATAAAAAAAAGTCTAAGATATCAAAAGTGTGACCTAACAGCCATTAGGAGGGTAAAAGCGACTAGCAACATATTATTTTGTCACTCCTTATCTTTTTATTTCCTTCCATTAATTACTAGCTTCCTTCTTCTTCATTTCATCCTCAAGCATTTCCTCATCACCATTTTCAATTCCCAACTCTTCATGAGATCATAAAAGTGACCACTAAAAAACCCTATAGAATGTACAACACCAGGAGTGAGCCCTAATGTAAACTACAGACTTTGGGTGATAATGACATGTCAATTTAGATTGCAACAAACCTATCACTTTGGTGTAGGATCATAGGGGACACCATGTGGGTGGGGGCATGGGGTATATGGGAACTCTTATCTTCTGCTCAATTTTGCCATGAACCTAAAACTGCTCTTAAAAATAAAGTACTAATTTATAAAAAGAAAGAAAGAAAAGACCATAATGAAGTACAAACACGGACACCACCAATACCCACATCATTCATGTGGCAAGCATTGTACTTCAGGGTTATAAAAGGAATATTAGAAAATGTTACCAAACTACTTATCTAGTCAGGACAATCTTAAAAATAGTACAAAGTAGGCAATACACAAGATAATGCCACTCCCTGGAAAACAGCTTAGGGAGATGTTTTGTAGGACACAGACACATGGAAACCAACACAGGCTCACTAATGACGTCACACCAGACAACACAGTACTCATTTATTCTGTTAACACTAAACCAGCCTACTAGGGAATATCACAGCCAAAATGTATATCAATTTTAGGAAGAAATTTGACAACTCAAAAAATGCAGTGTTAGCCAAGATAAAATACTATGCTTTGGATGCATTACACTGATCTAGTTGCAACTTATTAAATGACTACCCAGAAACTCAAGGCACTGCTAACATAAAACCCAATTTTTAGTCCTCATTCTACTGCTAACAGCTGTGTAACCCTGCGAAGCTGCCTCCTCCTCACTGGATCTTTTTCTTCATCTGCAAAATGGGAAAAACTAAACACAGCCGCTTATGTTATTGAGGGTTTAAGTCCCAGCTACTGTGCTGGGTGCTTTATCTATATCACTCAATCCTCACAATCCTGAGGCAGGTGTTATTATTAAGCCCCCATTCTACAAACTAGGAAAATGAAGTGTGTGGTCATTTGCTCACAGTGTTAGAGTTTGACTCTACAGGCTCAAAAAGGGACCAGTTTGGAAATCTTTACATTTTAGCTTTAGAGGTAGATCACAGCATATGGTCTCTCCAATATGTGAAGACAACCACAAAGAACAAGCATCCCTATCCTTGCCTGCAGTACACACAGTTATTCCATAATCAGACCACAGGGCTCTGCTACATATCTCTCCACACAACCCATTAAAAATGTAAAAACCATTCTCAGCTCACAAGCCATACAAAACCAGCCGTAAGCGGTAGTTTGTTGACCCCTGATCTATAGTTAATACTGGAAACAATGCACGCCATGGTCACTAGAGATCTTACCAAACAGGGAAAAGTAGCAATTAAAATAGGCTGACCAAAACAGTTCATCAAGAAGCAAGTTGGGGGGCCGGCCCAGTGGTGTAGCGGTTAAGTGCGCGCACTCCGCTTCAGCGGCCGGGGGGTTTGCAGGTTTGGACCCCGGGCGCGCACTGACGCACTGCTTGCCAGGCCATGCTGTGGCGGCGTCCCATATAAAGTAGAGGAAGGTGAGCACGGATGTTAGCCCAGAGCCAGTCTTCCTCAGCAAAAAGGGGAGGATTGGCATCAGATGTTAGCTCAGGGCTAATCTTCCTCTCTCTCTCTCTCTCTCTCACACACACACACACACACACACACACACACACAAAGCAGCAAGTTGGAACCTTTAGCTATTATGCATGCAATGGGAGGGAATAGAGGCAGTCCTAGCACTGCACCTCACCTTCTGTGGTACATCCTGAGAACCAAGAGGCACAATTCTGCCTCCACCATACTTTACTGAGGGTAGAAGGTTACAGACAGGGCAGACTAGTTTATGAGCACCTTCCCACTGGACGCAAGCAAGTCATCAAGGACAGACAACTGTCACTCTTTCATCTAGCACCCAGCATTTTGTAGGAACATGGTGGGTGCTCGATTAAATTTTTATTATTATTGTTTTGTGTGTGTGTGTGTGTGTGTGTGTGTGTGTGAGAGGAAGATCAGCCCTGAGCTAACATCTATTGCCAATCCTCCTCCTCTTTCTTTTTCCCCCAAAGCCCCAGTAGATAGTTGTATGTCATAGTTGCACATCCTTCTGGTTGCTGTACGTGGGACGCCACCTCAGCACGGCCGGAGAAGCGGTGCGTCGGTGCGCACCCGGGATCCGAACCCGGGCCGCCAGTAGCGGAGCGTGCGCACTTAACCGCTAAGCCACAGGGCCGGCCCATCAATTAAATTTTTAAAATATTTACTGAGTGCCCACTATTCACTTACTACTAGGCCAGCTTTTCAAATTAAAATTGTCACTTCTTACTTTCCTAAAATCTATTCTTTCATATTATTCCATCTTATGAGTTCTTCCAAAATCTGCCACAAGCCGCTGGGCCTATAATGAAAGGATGACACATCCAAAGACCTCATTCATTCCTTTAATAAAGCTGAATACAGTCATGTGTGGCATAACAACATTTCAGTCAACGATGGACTGCATACACAACCACATATACGACAGTGGTCCCATAAGATTAGGACCATACAGCCTAGGCGTGTAGTAGGCAATACCACCTAGGTTTGTGTAAGTACACTCTATGTTCACACAACGACGAAATCACCTTAATGATGCATTTCTCAGAACGTATCCCTGTCTTAAGCGACATATCACTGTTATTTACTTGTGCTAGCTAGCTAGCCACTATGCTAAGCACCAGAAATAAAAATAAGACATGACCTATCCCCAAGGATTTCAATCTAGAAGGCCACCACCATTCAACCCAGTGCAGCAGCTGAATTACTAAATATGGTTTTCTGCATATCATATTATGTTAAGCCATACTAATCAGAGAGAGAAGGGGGGGGCAGGTGGTATATAAAGCAGTGGTTTAGCACTTCTTACTAGAACCACTGGAGCCAAAATTGGAATCCTCGCTATCCCATTAGTACTTACATGATCTTAGGCAAGTTGCCTTACTTGTTAAGTGGGGCTAACAGCACTTACCTATGAAATGTTCACTAATTATTTTTTTTAAACCCAGTGAAGGCCACACTATAATCCAATCTAAGCCTATCCATACTGCTGCCACTTCAAACAATTATTTTACTTGCAGTGTGATGTCCAGAACAGCTGTCCAATAGAAATAAAATACAAGCCACATATCTAAGCTCATTTTCTAGTAGCCATAATAAGTAAAAACAGGTAAAATTATTTCAACATCTATAATATTAAAACTGAAGTATTTTACATTTCTGAAAATTAGATTCACATACTCAAGCTGTTCAAAAAGTGGTTCAAAACAAACACTAAATTGAGTATCAGTTTTAAGATACTAATTAGAATTAAAAATTCAGTTTTTCAGGTGCACTGGCCAAATTTCAAGCGCTCAGACATGTGTCTGATGGCTACTATGTTGGACAGCATGGGTCTACAATATCCCGTGTCATTCCATGTATCACACACCAGTCCTCCCAGTCTCCTGCAGCCAAGTGTACTCTTCCTGCTGTACTCTACTCTACCTCTTGTTAATAAGGACATTATACTACTGTCAATTTTTTAAGGAAAAACACACTGGGGGGGCCAGCCCTGTGGCTTAGCAGTTAAGTGTGCTCGCTCCACTACTGGTGGCCCAGGTTCAGATCCTGGGCGCACACTGACACACCGCTTGTCTGGCCGTGCTGAGGTGGCGTCCCACATGCAGCAACTAGAAGGATGTGCAACTATGACATACAACTATCTACTGGGGCTTTGGGGAAAAAAAGGAGGAGGACTGGCAATAGATGTTAGCTCAGGGCCCGTCTTCCTCGGCAAAGAGGAGGATTGCACGGATGTTAGCTCAGGGCTGATCTTCCTCAAAAAAAAAACAAAAAACAAAAAAAAACCCCACACTTGGCAGGTTTTCTCACCTACCTAGAAATATGGCATCGTTCTTATTCAGCCAATGAGGACACAGTTCTGACTTCAAGGAAAAAGGAATCACATAGCAAGGGGCTGAAGAAAAAAGGGGATACTGTTAAAGAAAGAGGAAGAAACCCTGCTGGGATTTAAAGAAAATGGACATCTCTTCAAGAGTTCCTAATCTAGTACAAAGAAGGTAAAAACATGTAGCCAGCACTGACCTCCTCTATTACTAAATATATCCAGACTAAAAAGATATCCTTAAATTTTAGGATAAGTTCTTAGCCAATCCACAGCATTGCCTCAAGCGAGACCTACCACACGTAGGCTCATCCATCCACAACTGAGTGCTCTTACGCTATTACCTTGTTGCAGACTGCCACACCAAGCCATTCTAACAGGCTACCTTGCCCAACTGCATAAATGTATGATCCTATAATTATAAAAACAAATTCCAGGATTTACTATCTATAGGCTCCAGAACCCAAGGCATCCATACACCAAGTCCGGAAGATGGCTCTAAGATCACAAAATCCGCTTACCTTTTTTTCTCTATTAAACACTCCTCACACCCACCAGACATACTCTCATTTCTTACATTCTTTCCTACCATTCTGCCTTAGATGAACTAGACTGTAGACAGTTCCAAAGGCCAAGACTGGAGCATAGGAAACTCAGCAACCACTGCCCCAGTACTAGGGAAACAGAAGGTGAACACACTAGTTCTCTATTCTAGGAGATTTTAAGATGAAAAGATTTTACATATCAGTGATTTGGTGAACATAGATGACTTCCAGCCAACTTACGATCAGTGGCTAACATAACCAGCATATAAATTCAATCCTAAAGTGCCCAAGTCATTGTCTTAAGACTTGGACCCAGTTCTGAAAAAGCCAACCAATACAGTGCTTTTTTAAGACTGCCAGTGACACATCATGACTTGGGGACTACTAAAGTACCTTTTTATGCCTCCCTCCTCCCCCATTCCTTCCTTAGTACTACACCACCGAGTCTTTAAGCCTTCCCCAGTGTGACAGCATTTAGTCAATTACGTTGTAGACGACCCATGACATCTATGACTTAGATCAGTTTGACTTTAACAGCCCAAGAGACTCGGCGATCATCTTTCCACAGGTCTACAAACTTTTAAAGAACCAGATAGTATTTTAGGCTTTGCATATTCTTTTTTTTAACAACCCTTTAAAAAGGCAAAACCCATTCTCAAATCACAAGCCACATAAAAACAGAAGTAAAAAGATTCAGAAGTGAGATAAAGGTCTAAGGTTCCCTCCTCCTTTAATTCTTTAATTGCCTCCCAATATTAGCTATTAAGCAAGTCCTTTAATTAGTAAAGCCACTCTAGACAATGAACTGGAACTATCAGAGCAACCCCTAACTACGTGAAATAGGCAGTGAGAAGTAGAAAGCTTTTCAAATCTGGGGAACTAGCAGTCAGCACATAAGAGCTTCAGTGACATGCTGGAACTCTTTCAACAGCTAAGACTATCCACCCTAAGAAATTATCCGTAACAATGTGGACAACAATCAATTTGAAGATGACCAGGGTCTACTTTCAGAGACAGTATAATATCAGGTAGTGAACACAAACTCCCGAGTCAGAAAACCGAGTTCAAACCTTACCTCCGCAAGGCACTCACTACGCTTCCTGGGGCAAGCTTACCCAACCTCTCAGTGCCTCAGACCAGCACCTACACATAAGGTCTTGAGGATTACGTGAATTCGTTCACTTAGAGCATTTACAACAATGCCTGGCACACGTACTTGATTAACATTAGCTACTTTTACCACCATGTGTGAAAGGAAGTCACCTTTATCAGTTATATACACATGGAATCCCCAAAAGGGCAGCCTCCCCTGAAAGGGAGACTGAACTTGACAGCCATGACTAAGTATTTTTGTAACGAGGGATAGCTAAGCCTTTCCCTGGCTTGGCTTATTACACATCTTCCTAAACCATGGGTAATAAACTCAAATGCATATACAGAGGTCAAGCAGGAAGAGAAGTCAACAACAGGAGAACACTAAGCCTGACAAACTGTGGTAAAAAAGAGAATGTGTGACCCATTTAGAAGTGGTAATAATACTCATGGCCAGCTGATGTTTATTTAGATGGGACTACAGGCCCCAAAGCTAAATGTCAGACCTTAAAAAAAAAAAAAAAGATAATCTGGATATTTTTGGTGTTATCTCCTGAATTTTAAGCGTTAGTGACCAATTCCTATTCTTTTTAAGACATTGTATTGTCCAAACAAAACACCTGGGGGTAGATTTAACTAGTAGGTCACCAGTTTGTGATCTCTGCTCTATTTGAGTCTCTTTGCTCCAAATTCCTTGGCCCCCCCCAAAACCTTAGAATGATTAATTTAGCATTTTAAGTACTCTGGAGAACAGAAAAGTACTCCTCTTCTGGTCACTATAAAAGATACATGCCCCATTGAAATGTGAAGTTGTTACTGATTCATGCCAACCTTTCATGAATCTGGTGAGCATGGATTAATCCTCAACAGCTGGAAGCAAAAGACAAAATCCGGTTTCCAGGTTTAAAAAGCAGAGAATCAAACTCCCAAACCACTAACCCCTGTGGCATCCTTCCAGTGACATATTCAATAGTAATTTGGGGGGGGGGGTGCTAATAAACCCCCTCTAGTCACATAATCCAATTACCTTTTGCAGATGCAGGACACAAAGGAATGACAATGAATTTCTTAAAATTCCTAGATTACATAGCCTAAGAAAATAAAGCCAAAATTTTCGCTGTTTTAAAAAGCTCTATGCTCTTATTTAGCACCTTTTGCACAATAAAACTACCAAAAGAAAATTCTTTAAAAAATAATTCTACCAGGGCTGTAACAATTATTACAGGTAATAATTTAGACTGAAATAAATGTTTACAATGAAAATACATTTCTGTGAAGGCAAGAAATTTACATTAAAAAATCTACTTTAATTAAAAAACTCTTAAAAACCTAGAATATATAACTCATAGAATCACAACCTTAAAATTAGTGTCACAGTAATCATCCCAAACATTGCATCTTCTCCTTTATAAGAGACATACCCACCCCCCTTCCCAGCCACCCCCCTTTCAGGAGAGCTAGGTGCCTCCAGCCCTGTCTCCATACTGAACCAACTGCTAGCTTCCGGAACTGTAGTTCTTTTTCCTTAATCAAGGGAATCAATACATTTTCCCTTAATCAAGGCAAACTTCTCCTGGACTTAATTGCCATCAGATTTTACTGTATCTTAATTCAAAAACTCTCAAGATTACTGAAACGACCAGTTTAGAAATATAAAGCACATCTGAACAAGTAAATGTGACAAAACAGTTGAGGTTAGGACAGTCAGAACAAAGGATCATCAAAAGCCAATTTAAGTTTAACTTGCCCTGGAAGATGACCAACTGAGTTGATTGCAAGCCAGAACAGAGATATTCAAGGAATGGTACCTCACAGAATAAAAATAGAATACGTAAGGAACTATTCTTATCAGGAATATCATCAACTGTTCGCTTCAAAAATATTATAACCTATGTCCATTTAACTAAATGCAGCAAAACAGAAGGCACATACTACACTTTTTAAATCATAAATAAACTGCAATCTAACCACTGAAAAAGCTGCAACTTACAGACCCTTCTAACGTGCAGACCAGCAACATCCTATCATATTGGGTCAAGGATTAAATGCAATGGTTTTCAAAGTATGGTTCACAAGTCATAATCACCTGGAATTCTTGTTAAAAATGTACCCCAAACCCAATGAATCCAAGCTAGGAAGGAAGAATTCAGGAATTTGCACTTTTAACATCTTTTTGAGGTAAGCACACTTAAATTTGAAAACCACTGGTTTAAGGGTTAGGCCAGGAAGGAGAATCGGAGTAAGATGGTAATACTAACTGACACTAACCATCAATCAACTAAAAAGTGGCCAAATATAAGCACCAAAGTGTTCCTTTCGTTCCCAACTAACAACTCATTATCAAAAATCATGAAAAACGTAGCTTTGGGCTTGTCACAAAAGTAGACACTGGAAGAAGAGATGGAAAATTCCTAAAGATTCTGGAAGAAACAAAATGTTTCCCCATAACTGCAAACGCGGAAAACAGGCCATCAAATGCTTACAATTGCTTTTCCTTTAATACTTCATGGTTGAGTAACGAACAGTTTTCATCAGCCAATTATGCCTGTCTTTAAGCATGATCTTGCCCATTTGGTTTCCTGCAGCACTTATGCATTTCACAAACATTTGGTATTACTACTTAGCCTTGTTCTTTCAAACATCTAGTTGTTTAATGCCTTCTAAAGTAAGGACAGAAGAAGGAAAACGCTGACACGGCGGTATCACACCTGTAGGGCCCACAGTGTTACTACCAGCACACACGGTGCTCTGCACCGTGTAACTGCTACCAGCCCTGGCAGCCATCTTGAAAACGGTGCCCGGCTCACAGGGGACACACCGAGGAGTACTGGGAGTCTGCTGCGCATCGCCATCACTGCTACAACCAGTTCTAAGGATTAATCCCACACACGTAGCTGTAGCTTCGCATTCATACACGAAGAACGACGTTATCACGGAGTAAGGCCACTCTAATAATCTACAACCAAAGCTTTAAAATTCACGTAACAGGACTTTAAAACAAGAATTAGAAAAAATAAAAATTGAGAGAAAAAAAGGCCATTTTCTTCCAGATGTAATACTTACTCTACGAGGAAATAAAAACAACTCTGTTGTCAAAGTAGTCCTAACATGAAATTTATCTGAGGCATTCAAGACAGCATATACACAAACGTTAAAACAAAGGCAGTGTAACTTGATGGTCACGGTGACGAGATTCCACATACTTGTACCGTCAAATCACGTTACCTCCAAAGGGGAACAGGCTGTAATCAACCTATATACTAATTAGTGAGTCACATTTTCTAACACCAATTTCAATAACGCATAAAACGATGACAAAGATAAAAACGGGGTGGGCCCAGGCCTAACAGAATTATACTAAATCTTCGTTTCCTCCGTTTGCCCTGTTGGAAGGCTCACTCACTCCGCTCGCCTTTTAAATTGCTTTGTACCATAAGAAGCCTTTTAAGCTACAGATAAGCACTTAGCTGCAAAACAAAGACAATCTCCAGATCACTAATACCTTCAGTCATCAAAGGAAACAAAAATCACACTAACTACACCAGAGGTGGCAACCTCACGCCTGCTCACCATCCCCAGCCCGCAAAGCCTCCAGACGGGGCACAGCATGCAGATGGAGGACCGAGGCTTCAGCGGCCGTCAGCTCACCTGTTGATGAAACCATATCCGTTCCTTACATTGAACCATTTTACTGTTCCCAAAACCTTCGTTGCTGGAGAGAGGGGGGGGAAAGAAAAAACCCGACGATTACCAGGCAGCCTTTTTTTGAACCGCCACGCTTCGGCATCCGGTCCCTCCCTCGCTCCCCGCCGCCCGACAGCCTGCTCCGCTCGGGGCGCGCCGGCCCCGCGCACGTGGGTGAGCCG